CCCCAGTTATCTGCTTTTTATGCGCCTTTTTACCGCCCAATGTGTCACCCAGAGATTTATGTGGTCAGCAGATTGCTCGCTAAAAGGCGGGTCTTCCCAAACATGGCGGACGAAGCATGTCTCTTCCTGCATCACCTCACTAGACTTAATTTTTGTTAGAAGCCTTTTTCCTTAACGTGGATTCTAGCTGAAGCTGGTGGTATGGCAAACCTTTACCTTGAATTTGATGAGGACGCTGGGAACAACACTCATATTATACCGAAATGTTACGACGTAAAAGATGTAAACGCAAATTCCTCACAGAGGCAGTTGTTGATAAATTACATGGCAAAAGATGGAGGAATTCCCGTCAATTTTGGGTTGAATATCTTAGGATGGATGGTAAGCGTCGTGTCTGATCTCTATGCTGTGCTTTATTGTCTTAATTTTTTGCCTTGCTGTACATTCTATTACTTTTATTAAAACTATCCGGTCTGATGAAAATGAAAATGAAAAACGAAAGCATGTAAATGTAGTCGCTCATATTGACAGTTGCGTTAGATCAGATTGGAGGTCGTTGTCTCGATGCCCGATTCTGAGTAATTTCACCGAATGGTAGTCTGATAAGCTCTCTTGTATTTTTAGTTTTATTTGAAAGTATTTATTCTGAGATTTGTTTGTGTGCGAGACAACATTTTTCGACCTTTCGACCGGGCAGCCGCGCGTAGGATTTAATAACAAAAAAAAACAATCACTTTCTCTGTTCCCGAACACCTTGCAAATACTGCAACTTTAGGGAAGCAGAAAATTATTTCAAACTTCTTTCCGATGGAGATAGATGATCATTCTGCAGCAGAAAGTTGACAAATTATATTATGGGCATGGTGATTTGTAAGTCCTACATTTGTTTTCAACCTGCTCGTCTCTCTACTTGATGTACTATTGCATAATATTATGTTAAGTACTCCTTTATATCGAAATTAGAATTGAAAATAGCGATTTTATGCGGTCATTGGTTAGAATATCAGACAATTTGGTTCAGAAAGCGGGCAGTTTTTCAAATCTTTGTCCCAAAAGACTTTTCCCTACTATTCGATTCCTTTGTTGTTGAAATTGAAGCAGGTGAATTATGCTGGCTACTGTTCATTCATTATGCAAAAATAATTTTGTGAGTTATTACTTGTTTGCCGAAACATGCATCAAAATATATTCTTCTCTTAATGATGTACAATAAATTTCTTTAGGGAGTTTTCGGTTCAGATTTTTCATGCATATTTACAAGTGTACTTAAATTTTTGGTATCAATGTTATTGTGTATACTTAGGAAATACATCCAAAAGATTTATTTCCCTTCAAATTGTTTTGACTATTGAAAATTGCTGTGAACATGATTTGATAATGCTTTCCTTATTTTTATCTGCATGGTTCTGAAATGCCATCATATAATTTGCTAATTTTACTACAAGTTCCTCGGTTTTGAAAAAAGATATCTGGCAGCTGTGAAAAATAAAATTGAGCTTTTCTCTTTTTTTTTTTCCCCATTTAGTATAAACATTTTATATTGTAGTGAGGTCAGCTACAGGTAACAAATAACAAAAATAAACCCAACAATATGAGGAATTATTTTTTCTTTTCAAAGTACAGTTGTTATTTGGTTAGAAGATGCACCAGAAAAAATTCTCCTCTCAAGGAAAATTGATGTCAAACGCAGGGTGTGTCTTATGATATATGGAATTCTTTACAATTTTTTCCTTTCTTTTGTGTTTGAAAAGTGATAATGATATCACCTCCTACAAATACGTTTACAGACAAGGTCAATATATTTTTCCAGACATGTCAGTAAATAGAGGATGCATGCATTTTATCTTTGAGTGAGAAATATGAACAAAAGATTATTATTGAGTTAGCCTTTACATTTATGGAATCAGCTTTTTCTTAATATTGAACAGTTGCCTTATTTCAGCATTTTCTGCAATTAATGTAATTTGGTCTCTCAAACCTAAAGGCCAGTTATAAATATAACTGTTGCCTCTCATACTTAATATTATAGCTTTTGTTAACATTTCTTAATTTTTTAAACCTGCACATTTCTTTTGGTACATTTGTGAGTTCAAAACAAGTGACCTATCAAAAGTTGACGCAAGCAAAAATAAAGGGGTTGGATATTGGTGTCAAAGTGTGGGGTTGTACTGTTTTATTTATGGGAAAAAGCGGACTTTGAGATTAATTTTTGGCTGTAATTTCCAAAACTTTTATGTTGAAAGAATCCACTGAACAGTTAATATCAAAAACTAATGGCTTCATTTATTTTTAGCCATTGGTATACTGTAATATCTACAATCTTATTATATTTCATTCTTTTTTCACTACAGTTTATTACAGATGATTCTCTTACTTCATTTTTTTATTACATTTATTATTTTTGTAATACATTGGTGATTGTCATTTGTTTCATACATGAGCCACTGGCTCTAAGTCTTAAAGGCAATCTTATCCCATGTTATGGCTGTAATGTATTGACTGATTGATTGGAGCAGACAAATTCATATTAAATTCTGCAAGTGGTAAGGTATTGTTCTGTTTATTGTACAGATAGTAATTACAAGTTTAAATCGAACACAGTTTGAAACACCTTTTAAAACTACTTAATACAGAGATCATTTGCACATTAACTTAACTTACAGAAAAAGTGACTTCAACTTCCATCATAATATAAAACAAGCACTCTTAAAAAAAAAACATTTTAGTTCAAAGTTAATTGAATTCAACCTTGATAGTGTTTAGTATAGGTTTTTGTTTACTTCATGTCAATTTGCTCAACTCTGTAAGGTTTTTTAGAGAAAAATTTTCAGAGCTGAAGTGTAATTATCATGTTTTTTGTTATAGATTGTTTTCATCTTGTTCTGTGTCATTCGCCGACTTGTGTGGGATTATGGAAGACTAGCTCTGATACAGAAGGAAGACCAAGGGTATGTATGGTATTATAATTTTAGTAAAGGACAATTATTGTACACTGATTTTTCAAATAACCATTTTGCAACTGTGACACAGATTTAGATAATAGTAACATAAATACTGTCATGTCATGTCCAGGAACATTCAGTGAAAGCAAGCCATGTGAGATTGTTGTGGTTCTTATTTTAGATGGACTGAAATGTTCTATGGATCAAGGCAAACATCTGAGGAGGGACGTGCAAGTCAGGAAGGTGGTATGAATGCTGCAGAAACTGTTGAATTTCCAGCTGTCAAAAGCAAGGT